ATCAGTTGATGTGCACTTTTATTAATCTTTTCTCAGATTTGATCAAAGAAAATAAGAAACTGGTACAATGATGACTAATATTGTATGAGTCTAAAGGTCATGTTTAAATAATATCTATGCACGTTAAAATCACGTGAACGGACCACACAAAAACTTTTACATGTAAGGACTTACGATACGCTCTATATCTGTGTTAGGTGATTACAAGAAAGCCACTTCAAAACATCAGGGGATGGGAATTAGAGCTTCTGTATCCCGTGAAAGATGTAAATCTTGTGTTTAAACCTTTAAGTTCATATACTTGCATATAAACATCAAGTAGAACTGTGTATTAAAAGGAAGTGGGAGCTTTTCAACAAACCCTTTCTGTACAATATTTTGCTGCTAGAAAGAGTGACAACGATCGACAGTAAAAAAAGATATGACAGCGATCGACAGTAAGTGTAGTGATAAAAGATAAACAAAATTAATTTCAAATGAAATAGTAAAGAAATATATGATAAACTTATGATTTAATAAAAGACAATGGCAAAATAAGATTCATGTAATCGACCCTAAAAATATTAAGACAGATTCTACAGTTCCCTTTTTTCAGTATTTAAATGAAAATGTATGAAAAAAGAATCTATCAGTATTAAATCTTCATAAAGTATTGTAGTTACTGGAATTGAAAAGTATAAAAAAAAATCAGGACATTTCTATGCCAATAGAAGAAAGAAGTTGTATTGTCCCACATCGAAGCAGTAGGAGAAAACGAAAACAAGCCAACTCCATATGTGGATGTTCGAGCAAGTAAGAAACATACTTACCTGGACGGGGTCAATGGGTGATCATGAAGGCCCATGGCCTAGGTTGGCGACTTTCATTGTACTTGGGAGGGGCACCTGTCTGTCCAAGTGGTAGAGCTTATGTCATAATTTGTGACAGTGCGGTTTTGTGTTTGTGCAGCCCTAACCCAACATTTAAATTAGGTTTTTTAAGGGTCAAATAATAATTTTTTGGATACTTGAAATTGTTACAATCAATTGGAAAAACCAAAAAGTTATACAAATTGTTTTTGAAAACTTGTACATGACGATAATGAAATTTTTTGAATGATGTACATTAGAACTAATGATTAAAATACTGTTTTGAAATGATTGGAACATATGAAATGTTTTTGTTTTCAAGGAGACCGAAACGAATTAGTAATGAATTGAAATTTTAATACTTCAACGTGTTTCATAATGTTTTGAAATATTTTGTTATATTTTAATACATTTGCAAAATTATTTCGGAATGTTTTAAAGTATTTTAAATTATTTTAATATATTTCGACCAATATTTTAAAAAAATAATTCTTAATTTTTTTAAATTTTTTTTCATTCTGTTTTCGAAACGGATCGAATTATTTTCAAAACATGTCAAAATATTTCCGTTTATTAGGTGACCGAAACAATATACCGAAACGAAATTTTAATCCTCGATTAGAACATAAAGCCGAATGGCACTCTATTTACATGGTCAACGTTCCTTGGACAGCACAGCAAGTGTAAGAGTTTCTGAAAATACCACAGGGTCATGGTTGTTGGACTAAAATAATTTTTTGGAATTGAAAACTGATTTTTTTCATCGACTTTGAAATTTAATTAAATTGAGATCTACTCATCATTTCAAATAAACTTTTGTGGGTTTGTGTTCTCTTCGTGAGGAGAATAACGTAGTATATTCACTTAATTAAATTGAGTAAGATGTGTTAATGAAAATCAAGACGTCTACCTTTAAAGATACAATATTTATGTTACATCTCTCTCTATCAATTTGAACTAGTAAAGCCGATGGTGATTAAGAAGGAAGCCACTTTAAACATTACTAGAAAAATATTGAATTTAAAGGGAATTAGTGGCAAATTCAAAAAATTCGAGGGGCATGTACGTGGCTCTGCAAATGTATCACATGAAAGTTGTAAGGCTTTCTGTTCTGTTTTTTATTGGTACAATTTGGATCAAATTTACAAATAATTATAGGGCGATAACCATTAGACTAACTGCCGACTCTTCTAAGGCTTTATGTTTATATACTTGATTTTTATGTTCAAGAGGTGATGCACAGTTCCCTTCTTTTGAGCATTGAAACAAAAAGCAGTGTGATATAGACAAACCGGAAAAAAAATATCTACAACTATAAAATCCTATTAAACTTTGAGTAGTTATTGAACTTGAAAGTGTCCAAAATAACGACGTCTTTATGCCAATAGATGAAAAAAGCTATCTTGTCCCACATCGAAGCAATAGAAGAGAAGGCGAGGCCAGCCAACACTACATGGAGATGTTTGAGCAAATGAAAAGAATACTTACCTGGACGGGGTCAATGGGTGAACAACAAGGCTCATGGCCTAGGTTGGTGACTTTCATTGCACTTGGGAGGGGTGCCTGCCTAAGGTCTGTCCAAGTGACAGATCCTACGTCATAATTTGTGATAGTGGGGCCTGCGTTCGCGCGGTCCCTATCAATATTTACTTTAAAATCAAGCAAATTTGCTTTCTTCTTACGGTTAGCCCCTGTTAGGGAGTCTCAATCAAGTCGAGTGTTGTGAGTTTGAATTGAGTTTATTTTTTTATATGGATTGAATTCAAGTCGAGGGCAATTAGTTTTACTATTTTACAGTCTAAGTTTGTGAATTTAAGTTGTTTCTTTTAAATGTTTTTTTAAACAAATTTTAAAAATTGTTCAAGATTAGCTCGTTTAAAACACGAGTCGACCTCGAACTAAATTTTATTCGAGTCATGCCTGAGCTGAACTCGATTAGCTTGTCTTGATTTACACTCCAAGCCACTGTTGTCACAAGCTAAGTCACATGCACATTTCCAAGATCAGATATATGCCAGAAACAGAAACTTTTCCCACCATGTGTTTGTTGAATATTCAAGAGCTACACTGTTCTTCGTTTGAAATTTTCGGCCTAGAATAGTTTGATTGATCGATGGATAGTTTTGGAGTCGATTTCCTTTCAGGGTGATGGATCTCTTTGAATTCCACCAATGTCCGCGGTGAGACCATCAAAGAGGATCTGCTATGGAACGTGCCCACTGCTCCATAGCCTTTGAACGATGTGGATTTCCTCAAATAGACATTCTCAATTTATCATTGTAAATCAAGTATATACATAACTTGAGCTCATTGTACTAATACATATTTAAGTAACATTCATAAGCCCACTTTGTCAAAGATATTCACTTTATCAGTCTTTCTTTGTTTTTTTTCCAGAAAGTGCTGCTCTTTATTAGTCTCTTAATTTTTTTTTTTAAGATGACAAGCATTTGTCCCAACTTCGTCAACGGTGTTCAAGCCTTTACACTTTCAGTTTGATGTGTTAGTGACTGGGAACAGTAGGGGACAAGGCAAAGACATTACATAAATAATTAAGGCGGCTAAAGAGGTTGTTTGAACTAATCCTATTTCCACATCGAATACTTATGAAAGAGGAGCGAACTACACCTCAAGACATAAGAGAGTCGAAACCGTATGACAAATCATATTTTTCTCGGCTTTTTGGCTAAGATCAAGTGTAATATTTGTTCTTATCAATTTAGTATTTGATACGTCACATGATAGTAAATTAATTTTTTTCAAGGGGAGGATCCACTACAATAGCTTGCTATTGGGGTCCTCAAGTGTTGCCTTTGCGTTGCAATATTGCATTGGCCCGGCGCGCCCTACCAAATCTTAGTTCCATTCTTTGACCCAAAATTGGAACTTGCTAACCAATTTGTTTTTTTTTTTGTATTGCAATCAAGAATATCGGGTCAAGTATACGTGCATCTCGACTAATCTCTCAGTTCGGTCAAAAGTTGTTTATGCTAGAACTAAAAAATTTATAAAGAATAAATTTTTTATGGTCTAACTCCAAGAAAATTATCAAGTTTCAAACTCATGACGTCTTGGTTTGAATGGCCTAATTAGATTAGCATAGCAAGTTTTTTTCATATAAACGAGAAAGAAGAGGTTGGGCTTAGGAGTGTACTTAAGAGCAAAAACTAAGTTGCGATAGAAGTTAGGAGCTTGGCTTTCTTCAATTTTTCTTCAGGTTGATTTCATCAGGAAGGAAGGGATTTTTCCTAACAATAGGAGACAGATAGATAAGATATAGACCACTAAGACAGTCAATTCAAGGTGAATCTCATTATGCTTTTACTTCTGCTCATCAAAATTCTACCTCTGACTAAATCAATATCTCGTTTTTTTCCGAACAACTGGTCTTTGTCTTCCCTGGGCTACCTTCGGACTTGCTATCCAATTTTTTTGGCGATTCATAAAATAAAGGAAAATATCACACAGAATGAATGGGTCTCATTGAAAAAAATTGATGGAACTCACTTATCAAATGAATGATATGCATTTGAATTACAATTTTTTAAATTTTATTTGAATTTAAAGCATAAAAAAATGAGTCAACTCAAAAATGCGTCAACCTTTTCGAGTTAGGGTTAGGATATTATTATGTTAAAGGGGAATTGAACTCTAGATCCTAAAAGATCTAAAAAAAACCTTTATTTCACATATGAAGTGTTTCGATTTGGCACTGCTGTTAACTTTTTTTGTTAATTTCATAAACATTAATAAAAAAAATTTAGTAAATTATACATATGGCGACACTTGTGTCAATTAAACCCTTAAATTCTTTAATTATATCAATTCAACCCTTTTGTCTATTATGATTAGATTTTTTAATAAAAAATAACATAGTTTGTCACTCACGCGATTGAATTGTAATTCATGTGAGCGACAAATGTCGTCATTCTCTATTAAAAAATTTAATGGAGAGAGATCGAATTACTAAATTGACACAATTAGAGAATTGAAAAACTCAATTAAAATAAAAAAAAAATTAAAAGTTTAAATAACATAAGAATTATAATTTAAAGGTCATATGCATAATTTTCTCATTTTTTTTTTTAAACGAAAGGAGCAAAGAATGTTAACCGATTACATTATAACAATTTAATAAACTGAATGTAGGTGCCCGACACAAACTATCCATTTCCGCTCTTCAATTCTCATCCTCTGCATCCTAGTCTCACAGGTTCTCTCTCTCTGTCTCTCTCTCTCTCTTGGCACTAATGCATCGTTGTCCATTACTTTTTTCTTAATTTGATGATTCTCTCCGTTTAGGTGCTTATAATATCGTTGAATCGGATTTCATTTTCTTCGAATTGGAACAGGTACTGTGGCGGATCTTATTTAAATTGAGCTTTCTCTATTGAAATCCTGACTCAGCCGACTTTATTGTGCAGACTTGATTGTTCTAGTTCTTTTATAATGTTTGTTGTTTTCAATTGAGAGGTTTTATTCGAATTTGATATATATATATATACATATATTTGATGCAATGGTTCTTGTTATTCAGCTGTGATTGTAGGTCACTTGGATTTGAAAATACACAATGGTTTCGTTTGAGATGGACGACCGTAAAAGTGAGTGACGAGACATCGTTCCTTTTACTCTTTGTCACTATTATGGTTGTTGTTGTTGTTATGTGTATACATTGCACAGGTGTTGATTTGGTTTTGGTATCATATAACCATATTGGTCAACTACAAATGGACAATTTCATCTCTGAAGGTAGTAGATGAATAGTTAGTCTAGTTTCAGAATGGGTTTAGATTTTTGCTTATTTGACACCCAACAAAAACCCCCGAGATAATTCTAAATGAATTTGAGGCAAGTATAAAAAGAAATAAAAAAATGTGATATAGCATAACTCAAATCCTGATTTCATAGAGTGTAGTCTGATACTATAATGTCGTTCACCTGCCTATCTTGTAGGATAAAAATAAAATGCTTGATTAATCTGTTCTCTATGATTAAGGGAATACAAGGATTTGGTGTGGAAGTTAGTTGTGAAAGGAAGCAGTTTCTGTCTGATTTTATTTTTTAACAGCTTGCAGCATGAATTTTTGAACTTTACATTCCAAAAATAATATGGATGATAAGTTGATAATCACTAAAAAGGAAATACATGGTGGGGGAAGATTCGCGCCCATGGCGTGCATTTGCTTTCAATATTCCTCTCTTATCTTCATGGAATTTGCCTCTGTTATATTTTTTTCTCAAAGTTAATGACTATGAACATTCAGCCTGATTATCTTTCCAATTAGACTTGGCATATCTGAATCTATTTTTAGAAGTGTTATCCCCTAAAGAACTTGCTATGTTGTGATGAAACAGAGATTGGGGTAGGATTGACAGGATTTGGCATATTTTTTTCATTCTTGGGAATCATTTTCTTCTTTGATAAGGGCCTACTTGCCATGGGAAATGTAAGTAACATTGTCTCACGATTATCTTTTTGTCGCTACAGATCTTTTCTCCTTTCTTACTGTGTTACTTATTATTGATTTATGCCCGTTTAACATTGTGTTGTCTTTACTGAACCAGATCCTCTTCTTGTCAGGGGTGACGTTAACCATTGGGCTAAAGTCCTCCATGCAGTTCTTTATGAAACCTAACAATTTTAAGGTTCTTGACTTCTTTCTCTATTTGTGTGTGCGCGTGCGCGTGTGTGTGTCCTCATAGTTTTTTCTTTTTTACCACCTGGGGCTGTTTGGTGATTCTACAGGGAACAATTTCTTTTGGTGCGGGCTTCTTCTTGGTGGTCATAGGGTGGCCTATATTGGGAATGATCTTGGAGGCCTATGGGTTCATCGTACTCTTCAGGTTAGCTATATTTATGCTCCCATGATATGATGCAATCTGTCTTTCCTGATATGATGCACTCTATCAATATTACTTACGCTTATTTGCTAATGAGGTACTTTGTGCAGTGGCTTCTGGCCAACACTGGCAGTTTTCCTACAGAAGATACCTGTTCTTGGTTGGGTGTTCCAACAGCCATATATTAGATCGGTATGTTCCAATATATTTCCTTAAGAGTTTAGTTTTTAGTGGATTTATGCAAGACATGTTTTATTGAGGTCATTTCTTTGTTGATCAGTGCTCTATTTACTTGATAAGTGAACGTTCTTTCGGCCTCGTTCTTTGTATTCGGAATTGTTCTCTCAGTCAGAAATATACATGGCTATCAAAATTCCGATCCGGATCATAGGATAGGATCCTATGATTACACAATCCGGTATAAACAAATTGATTTGAGTCTCATGAAAATTTCCTTGCTCATAGGATATGAAAGGATCATGATCCAGATCTCTTAGGATCGTGGGATTTTAATCCTAGTTACGATCTTACTGATCCAAGTTATTGGTTTGTTTGTTAGACATGTTTATTTATTGAGCTCGTTCAAACCATATCTATTGTTTTAATACTTAAGGACTCAATCCAAATGTGATTGTCTCATGAGCTTATAAGTTTATTGGAAAATTTTGGTGAGAAAAGCTATAAAAAGCTCTCTTCGTTACAGAATACTTTTTTCATTCGTTCATCTCTCTTTCAAAGTTGAAAACAATGGTTATGTTTTGGTCTCTTCTTTCTCGACGTATGATCATAGTCATTTTCATTCTATTCTATTGTTTTATGTTATATGTCACATAGTCGATATCGTGTATTTGACAGTCTCTCAACTTTCCCATCTCTATCGCTCTCTTCGAAAGTTAATATCAAAATACTCCAATTCTCTTCCATTCTCATATTGTAGTTTCTTAAATTTTAGTCACATCTGTTCAACATGTTTGTCATAACATTCCTACTTTTTTCAAACTGATCGCTAATTTGATTTCCTGATAAATTGAACTAGCAAACAACATGATCTCCCCCCCCCCTGGGGGGGAAAAACCTCTGCGTTACTCACACAGAAAATCCCAACATGAGGAAACTTTATCTTGGGTACTCACACCACTTTTTATAACCTTGCGGACCAAAGCCTCCAACTAGAGATGGAATTCCATAAGAACCATAATCACAACTTGGTTGAGAGCTCCATGATTGGATCAAGTGAAGGTGAATAAAATGAGAGGAAAAAAGTGCAGTTGTTCCTGCTGCACTATGTTTAGACGTAGTTTTAGTTGATTCATTTGTGGTCTGGTTTTTATCAATATGCCAAGAAAAGAGGGTGACATTTATAAATGAAATATGAAATTAGGAAGCAAGCTTCTGCTTGAGTTAAATTTGTATCTGTAACATCTGAGCATTTTAGTTGTTAAATGTCATATGCCCCATTTTGAGCTACTACCTCCAAAGTGGATGCTATCATGCTTTGGTTTTTGAATCCCTTGTGTTTGTCCACTGACTGGAATTTTGTTCCTGCTGCACTATGTTCAGACATAGTTTTAGTTTATTCATTTGTGGTCTGTTTTTATCGATATGCCAAGAAAAGAGGGTGACATTTATAAATGAAATATGAAATTAGGAAGCAAGCTTCTGCTTGGGCTAAATTTGTATCTCTAACATCTGAGCATTTTAGTTGCCCCATTTTGAGCTACTACCTCCGAAGGGGATGCTATCATGCTTTGGTTTTTGAATCCCTTGTGTTTGTCCACTGACTGGAATTTTGCCTTTTTTTTTCTGTGGTACTGCATTTTCAACTGCATAACTAAAAGAGTTTGATACATTTTAATGCTTGATAAAAGTTACAGGTTCGGAATATTTGATTTGGACTTGATTATATCATCTTTGTTGCACCTCTTTGTGGAGTGATTCAAGCTTTATATGTTCAAGCTACATCTTGAAATCTGTGAGCTAACATTGTGTATTTCTCTGTGCAGTTCTTTGACAGTTATGGTGGAAAACGGGTTCCAGTGTAATTTTGGTCTAGGAAAGGGGAGGAAAGCTGCCCTAGTTGGCTCCCTTGTAAGTGTTGTAGAATACTATCTAATCAAATGATTCTATTCTTGGAGTGACATTGTGAAGTCAGTTGTTGATATGCAGATGATGAATCTTAGTAGTAAATTCTGCAGATTTTTTTGGGCTTATTTCTCTTTATGCCTGCAAAATCATTTCTAATAGGGAACTTACTGCTTCTTGAATGTTTACACATTTACTATTAGTATGGGATTATCCATCCATGGTGATGGCCATTGAATCTTCCTCGACTATAACCAGACTAGGTGAGTACAAGATTTTCATGTCAAATTTGTGACCATTGTACTTTCATGGGCCATCTTAATTTTGTTAGTCAGATCTGATGAGTGAAATCCTGAAATGTGGAGCATAAAGATACAGGTAAATTGAATAATCTGACATTACCCAATTGGTGGGTGAAGCCTGAGGCTGTGATGACCACTGCAGGAGCTGCTATTATTTTGGCTTTATTTTTGTATTCTTTTCTTGTTTGAGCAATGTTTATACATCAAGAAGCTCGACCTACTTTGTTCTTTTCAATTTCTTTGAACAATAGTAAAGAAATTATTTTCTTCTTTGTTTCGTGGTATTCGTGCAATAGTAAAGTTTGTGTTGAGTTCTATTTGCAGAAACGACATCTATATTCCTTTATTAATTCGAATTTTCATGATTATTGTGTTTATGTATCAATATGTATAGCCAAAACGGTTGGTTCTACTTATCAGAGAACATTTGCCTTGTAGAGGGTATCGAAACTTCACGGCGGGGAGTTGTTCTATGTTATTTTGGCGTTTCAAACTTGGTTTTTCTGATGCATAGAGATAAAATACTTCACTCAGGTTGTAGAATATGATTAAACTTTAATATTAAAATAGTGAGATAAAGTTAGATCACCAGACCAGGTCAGGAGCCGAAGGAAGCTTCCATCACCCATTACAGCAACTCACACCTCGTAAATTGTAATAAAGCCTGTGTTGACACCTCACTGTCTTCCCACTGCCACGTTACCATCACATTGCCACGTGTCTTTGTTCTAAGACAAACCCCACCATCTTCTCTCCTCCAATTTTTCAAATCCCCCCCATTCCATAAAACGAGACTCTCTTCTCTCTCTCTCTCTCTATGTATATTTATATGTATATGTATAGTCATCTCATCAGTGTTAGCGGCGTTCATGCCATTTAGAGAGAACCAGAAAGAGATCGAGATAGCTGAGATAGGTACGTCTAGAGGGAGCTGAGATTTTTTGTTAAAGAGAGGGAAAGAGAGAAGCAATGACGTCAGCGGCGTCTGTGACAAGATGAACAAAGTAGCAAGAGGAGAGCAAGCCACTCGTCCCTCTCGTGAAAACCTTAGTGTCTCCATAGCCCCGCCTCCATCGTCCACCAACACTAAGGTCTCTCTCTCTCTCTGCATGAATTAATGTTGATTGAGGGATAATTGTAAGTAAGTAATCCATCAACCCAATGAACTTTTCTGAAATTAATTAACAGGTTGGATAAAAATTTATACATGTTTGGATAATGAGCACTGGCCCTGTATGTGTTTCTGTTTGTAAAAAAATCTGTCAATTCATTCCAATGACATGCATGAAGTTTTGAAATTGACCACTGCTATTATTATTTCATATTTTGTTGATGTTTTCACATTTATAAGTCTATTTAATGTTATATTATGAGGTAGAATTCTCAATTTATAAAACATAATAATGGTTAAAGATTGATTCAATTTTTATATATTTTGATTTAATGATGTCAAATTCATTCTCAAATTTATTTTCTCCCTCAAAATCTCTTTTTCTCTATACATCTTCTGAGTCAGAGAATTCAATTAATACACTCTCAATACCAATTTACCGCTATGTATCTCTTTTTTTTTTCTGTGTTTACTTGAATTTTAAATTGTTTAATTAAAAAATAAATAAATGAATTTTATGATTTTTAATATTGCAAATTGTCTTCGGGTACAATTTTATTGCTAGTGGTTATATGTGATGCTAGTCAATTGTGATAAAGCAGGTGGCCGAAACAGAGAAAGGTCCGACGGCTGATGAGAAGTTTCTGTTCAGTGATGAAGCACTCCGTTGTTTTACAAGCTACCTTGAATACCATAAGTATTTTTTTTTTTGGGGGGCTTCTGTTCATTTGATTTCTTTTTTATTATGCGATATAATTACATTAAATTCTTGTTTTGCATGTGATTTTTTTAAGGAAGGCCTAGCATTACAATGTTTCAGTTCTGGTTGATATGAAGCAAATAGGTACGGAGGTTTATTTAATTTTTTGAAAGTTAGAATCGAGTTGTAAATCCAAACGTCGTGAATTCGAATTTTGACAACTCGTTGGAGTTAGATCATAAGGAATTGAGGGATACTCTAGTCTCAGGTGGATAGTCCGCTTTTGATCGGACGAGGAGAGAATTAGTCAAGATATACGTAAATTGATTCGGACACTCTGATCAAGACCCCACAAATTAAAAACTTGATAAATATAAACGTAGTTGAGTTTTCATGTTAAACATGAGTAGTGATCCAACACATGGATTATGTGGATAAGGTTGTGTATGAAATGTTTTATGGTGTTAGTTTAGCCTAAAACATATAATATTGTACAATACGAGTTTAGAGTAATATATATAATTGGTGCCAAATTTGATGACCTTCATTGTGTGAAGACCTGGTTGTGTGGAGGCATTGTAATTTGTGCACCCGCAAGGCGGTGGCTATGGGCGTTCCCCATTATGTAGGAAGTAGGTACTATCTTCCTGAATCCCATCAAAGTCTATGTGCGATCCGGTCGGATTGCCTTAATATATAGATCCAATCGCATATAATTTTTTTTTTTAAGTTTGAATTTTGAATTTTCATTATACAATTAAAGTTCATGAGCTACTAGGCCACCTTTTGTGCAGTCCTCGAGTGCCTGAGATCATTCTAATCATAAAACTATTGGGTATCAGTGCTCTAATGTACGTTATATGTTACAAGATAGCTTCAAAAGTTTAAAAAATGCCACCAGGATTATAAAGTTTTGTATCCGTCCCTGCACGCATGTTTGACAACTACAACTTGGAACTCCTTTACGATTTCCTAAGTTGCATTTGTACTGGAGGATTACTACACACGCATGTTTGACAACTACAACTACTTGGAACTCCTTTACGATGTCCCAAGTTGCAATTGTACAGCAGGATTACTACACCCGCGCCAGTACCATCCAACCTTATGGAGGAATACTACTGCCTGGTTAGACCTGAGGACTACTACTGGCCAACTATTCCTCTAATGCTCATTGCTCTTCCGTATTAATTGCCTCTTCTAGTTATCTCGGTTGATAAATTTTGTTGGGAAGGTTTTTTTTTGGCTGCTGTCTTTTGTATTTTTACTGTTTTCTGTGGGCTTGTTGTGAGACTCATCTTTGAGCCTATTGATAGATTGTATATTCAAGGGATTTGGTGCTTGGATTAGATTCCAACATTATTAAATTGTCATTTTTTTGGGGTTCAAACAGTGAGGGATATTCGGGCCAGTTTACGTGTACTTCGATTAATTTTTTCCTCGATCCAGTCAAAGATAGGTCATCTATACGGATATTAGGGTATTCATAAAGGATTAAAATCTCTCATGGTCTGTCTCTAAAGGGTTGTCAAAATTCGAACTTAGGATGTTTGGGTTTACAATTCGTCACTGTTATTACTTGAACTACCTTTTGGAATTTTATCATTTTCCTCAAAGTAGCTATTCATGGTTGGCTCGGTACTTTTTACCATTAATGGTCATTTTTGTTCTCTGGTGGTTTGTCCAGAGTGCAATTTTAATTAAGAAACAACACGAATGGAATTTGAATCCACCTTGCAGGTTTGGGTTTGTGAAATTTAATCAGAAAACGTTATCAAACCATGCACATGTGTGTATGCTATAGGTGCATTCAATTAATTAGAAAAACGTTATCAAACCGTGCATATGTGCTATGATATAGGTGCCTTTGAGAAAAGGGTAAAGATGCGCAAGAGTGCGAGAAGTTTGCCAAGGATTACCAATCAGTGTGCCCTTCTGAATGGGTAAGTCATATTGATCTCATTTTTTGGCAAAATTACTTAAAATTGTTACGGTTTTAATGTATTTTTATGGTCGCTTATCTGCTGATTTGTGTCCCTTGCAGATTGAGAAGTGGAATGAAGTGGTAGAGAATGACAAACAGCTACAAGACCGCCTACTCTTGATGAAGCTGGTTTGTGTCCCTTGCAGATTGAGAAGTGGAATGAAGTGGTAGAGAATGACAAACAGCTACAAGGCTGCCTACTCTTGATGTTATGGTCTCTTGACACTCGAAGGTGGGGTAATGAATATAGTCAAAAGCATATTGTAATGGGTATGAGCCCACAAGAATAATGTCATAGTCAATGTGCTAACGTTGATGACATTATTATATAGATCGAGAAGGAGAATTAGGGAAGAGAGGATGACAAAGTAGGAGGAAGAGAAAAAAAAAATTAGAGAATTAAGAAGGGAGAAAAGAAGTTAGGGAGGAAAATAATGCATAGTATTCAATTAATTCCAAATTTGACAAAATAATGAAGTCATTAAGTCATTAGGTCAACTGTTTTTGCTGTTGGAGATTAGAAATTCGAGTCGTTTTCTCATTCTAATAGTACTTGGACTAAAAAAAAAGGTTTGATAAAATAATTATATCAATTCCTACATGTATGGAATACTAAACCTTAATGCTTTGTTTGATACAATGGAAAAATTGAATAATAAAAAGTTAAAAGAACAGATAAAACATCATGTTTGGTAAGGAAGGAAAAAATAAGAAGAATAAAAAAGTGGATGAATGAACTTTCTTTTAAACTCGCCAAAATTAATCTTTCAGTATATATATATATATATATTAATTATTTTTGTATATATTAATTTTATATATAAATACAATAATAAAATTTGTATTTATGCTTTTATAAAAAATTTTAAAAATAAAGAATAAAGAATAAAAAAATATTTTTTCTATTTTGCCAAGCAAAAAAAAATATTTAATTATTTTTATTTCTCATTCATTCTATCAAACACAAAAGAAAGAAAGTGTGTCATTCTTATTTTTTTTCCTTGGAGGATTGAAAGTGTATCCCTCCTATTTTTCATTCATCCTATTTTCCATTATTACTATTAAAAAAAACAAAAAACAAAAGTGATCCAATTTCCATGGACTTCATCCCATTATTATAGTTTTAATTGTGCCAGTTTTTTTTTTTTTAATAGTTAGGGGGTGTTGGAACTAACTTATGCACACTTTGACTAATTTTCTTTTCAGTTCAATCAATACAAATTATTTACGTTGGAACTAGAATATTTATGAGAGATAAATATCTCTTGGTCTAATCTAATGACTAGTTCATTTGTCTTGTAATTGTGAAAATAAAATTAATTAAAAAATAAAAGAAAAAATTTAAGTCACACTCCTTTTAGTTTACCATATCTTTAAGAACACTCGCTCTATTTTATGAATATTCACTGACACCCTTTGTCAGATTAAATGTGTTAATTAGAATGTAAATTTATTAAATTACCCATGATATATTTGAGAAAAAACTTCATCTACAACTCCTTTAGATAGACATATCTTCAATGAGACTCCCTATATTTTTTTAAGGTTTTTTTATATATTAAAATTTGAACCAATTAAAATTTGATTCAAATTAATTAAAATTTATTTTTTATATATTAAAATTCGTGTTAATTAAAAATTATATTTTTTACGTATTAAAATTTGAGCTCATTAAAATTCTATTCGAGTCAATTAAAAATCACCTCGAATCAAATATTAATTAACTCGCATTGAATTTTAATCTGCCCAAATTTTAATACATAAAAACATATAAATTTTAATCGACTCAAATTTTAATACGTAAAAAATAAAATTTAATTAACTTGAATCGAATTTTAATTGGCATAAATTTTAATAAGTAAAAAAATATAAATTTTAATCGACTCGAAACTAATTTAATTGACGCTAATAACTTAGGCAGAGCTTAAATCGGCTCAAATTTTAATACATAAAAATATTCAAATTTAATCAGCTCAAATCGAATTTTAATCGACTCAAATTTTAATATGTAAAAAAATAAATTTTAATCAACTTAAATTTTAATATGTAGAAAAATAAATTTTAATCGACTAGAATTCTAATCGAATTTTATATAAAAATATTATTTGGAGTTTATGTAAGAGCATTTTTTCTATTTTAGATGAATTTTTTCGTTAGAAATAGTGGTTTAGGATAAATCTATGCTGCACAAATTATTGTTCAAATCTTATATCCTAAATTAATGCATGTGGTTGGATTAGTGGGATTCATTAACTCCATTAAATATTCAATCTCTAAGATTTTGACACATCACTTAAGATATAAAATTTAGACAAATATTTGTGCAGCATAGCATTACTCAGTAGTTTAATATCAGTGATGTTTAAATATAAAGTAAAAAGAATGTCAGTGATATTTTTGATAATAAAAAGATTGTCTTTTGAAGATATAATAAATTAAAATGAATGTGATTGAAATTTTCGCAAAATAAAATTATATTCCAGTAACAGATTTTTAATAGGATCTACTACAATCCGATACAATTTCCAATTAATTGGCTAATTTCCATCCAATTGCAAGAGAGTCACGTGCCACACGGCCCCCTCCCCCTTCCCCAACTTCTTCATGACGTTTTCAAACGCCTATTAACATGTATAGATACACGATCACCCTATGCTCTCTAAACCCAACCCCCCCCCCCCCCCCCCCCCCCTCTTCTCTGTTTCCTCCGCTCTTCTACGTTATTCTCTGAATGAAACCCTAACCCTAGTCCTTACCAAAACACACTCACACATAGTGAAACACTATCTTCATCCGTTAACTAAACCCTAACCACTACCCTAACCCTAAACTTAAATTCTAATTTTTATTTATATTTATATTCACTTTTCGAGAGCTCTAGGTTTTGGCTTCGATTTTCCGATGGATTCTCAGGCGAGTAATCTTTACGAAACGGCATCGCAGCCTGACACCGGCAACGATGCCTACACTTTCCTCGAATTCAACACGCAAGGGGAGGACTTTGATTACCCCGAATTCCAAGAACTTTCACAACCAATTCGCTCTGTGGTATGGCCCACACCCGCTGATTCTGTGTCCGAAACTCCTGATAGACACTCCTCTGGACATCAATCCGATGCTTCACCCTCGGGAAAGAGAGGCAGCAGTGGAGGAAGTAGTAGTAATAATCAGGCGGCGGTGGATGCGTTGGCAGCGGGGATGAGTGGGTTGAATTTTGAGGAGACTGGGGATGACGATGGTTTTGAGTTTGGCAAGGGTGGTTTTACGGAGCATGCTTGTAGATATTGTGGGGTGACGAATCCGGCTTGTGTGGTCAGGTGTAATGTGCCTTCATGTCGGAAGTGGTTTTGTAATTCGCGGGGGAACACGTCCGGGTCGCACATCGTGAATCATTTGGTAAGTGAAATCACGCATGGGGTTCATTTTCTGTTAATTGATATGGGCTTAGTTTCAACATTGTCATGTATGTATTTGTCGAAGGTATTTCACTTCATGAATGAAAATGGAGTTCTAATGTAAGGAATTTGGTGGCCAAAATAACTGTTAAAATTTGTTTTGTATTGGTTGGTTTTTCTTTTTTCATTTTATGAGTGGTGCTTGCTTGATTAGAGAATTTTTAGTTTCGAACTTTAGGATGGAGGAGTTAATAAAAGGTTGTAATTCTTGTGAGTAATTTGGATACAACGTGAATTGAGGTGAGGTTGATCTGGGAAAGGAGAAAACAAATAATTCAAGGGGAAGATCAACTGTATTTGAGCATTGGGGGTTTTCTGTGTGGTCTGGAAGTGTTATAACCTAGATCACATAGCGCTCGAGAGAGAGTGCCACAGTGAGAAATTTCAAAAAAAAAAAAATGAGAGCAGAAGCATGTCACTGAGAGCATCAAATTTATATATATGACATTGTGATACACATTGAAAAAGAGGATGTCAATGAAATAAGGAAAGAAAAATAGGCATTTTAGAACAATTTGTAGATCCCACATTAACAGAGCATCAAAAAGTTCTTTGGAAAGAAGGCTACTAAGAGGACAGTTGTAGGCTGTATTGAAAAGTAAGAACAAATGCTTAATCCCAGATCGGTTGTGTATCAACAAAGACTTTGGGAAGACAGTAATAAATTCAACTGTAGGGTATTTTGGAAAACAACTGGGCTCAACTTGGGCCATGCTCCATTTGGTGGTTGTTGAATGTTTATTGGGTTGGGTTCCAACCTGTTAATTAGTCCAAAATTTTAGCTTCTGTGGAGCTTACCCCATAAGTGTACAATACACTAATTATCAATATGAAATTCGCGGATTCAATTTTTTGAATCCGCTCATTCAGAGTGTTAGTTCGTATCTAGGTTATAACCATATTCTTTAATATTGTGTGTGCCATTGTAAGTCTTTAATAATGCTTGTGCACATTTACATTGTTGTGGGTCGGAAGTTTGAAGATTTCATAGTTGGGGATTGGGGCTACAAATGGATATGGCTTGCTATGGAAGCAATTTATAGCCAATGCTGAAAATTGATTGTACTTGAAACTTACTGGGCCGGATAGGTGCAAAAATTGATATCAAGGAATTTGTTACTTTAGTGATGCTTGTCCCCAAAAAATACAACTCTGCAACGTTTATTCCAAACTATTTAGGATCAGCTACATGAATTTTGTTCTTTTAGTTTGTTCTATCAAATATTGAATTTTTTTATTTAATCACAAGCTATTATATATCACTTTTTACTATGCCATTTATAGTTAATTTCAGTCTACAGTATCCTTTGTAGGTATCAAAACATTTTTCCTTCTTGTAGTTATTATTCATAATCTATGAACATGTCAAAACTACCTAAAAGCATTAACGGAACCATGTTGTGGCCTAGGGGGCTATGGCGCTCTTGGATTCTTGAAAACTCCACTGTTTGACAACTGTTCAAAAAGTAATTTCTCTGTCTCAATGGTTCCGCCAAATTTTTGTCTCTTACTTGTTAGATCTGCCCCTACCTAGAAGTCTTCTTTTCACTATGCTGGACTGGACTTCTACATGACGAGTTATTACTTTTATGTTTTTTTTTTTAAGATTGGGAAAAAGTTTAAATATTATTCAGAGATATAATAGGGAAAACCAATACAGGTGGACCGCAATATGTCCTCAGAAGACAGAAAGAGCAATATAAAGTATAGAAATCCTGGAATGGAAAACTAGAATAGAACCGATTTCCAATCCTGCTGAAATCTGACAAAAACACCTTGGAATTTCCTATAGACACGGTTCCTAAAGAAGCTTTCATTGCTTTGTTTGGTATTTCCAATCATGAGGTGGCATGTGGAGGTAGATGACTAACTGATTTATGGGATCTTTTCTACCTATCTACGTCAAATTGTTCCATCCTTTGCAACATGGTGATCCTTAGTATTAGTCAAAATCCTTCAATTTTGGACACTAATTTAACCCGATAGGGCTTCCAAACTTTGACCAATCATAACTGCATACCCAGGCGTTGCATTGGTAAATGTGATTTATATTTCCCATGTGATCCTTAGAGTCACAATCCTTCAGGTTTGGACACTAGTTTGTTAGGTTATCAGCAACAACACATGATGTAATGCATTAAATAGGAAAACTTGTTGTCTTTATCAAATTTTCATTATTTCCTTAAGTAGATGTGCAAAACATTTTGTTGAAGATGAGGTAGTAGAAACTTTTATTAGAAACACATGAATTGGCCTACAAAGTTTGGAGCTTCCTGTTATATTTGATATTGTGATGTGGGATGGAGTTTCTTTAGTTGAAGATAATAAATTGTCCCCATGTATATTGACAGAACTAAGTCTAGTTATGTTATTCATGGAAATGAGTGGGAACTGGTTGCATGTCTATGCACAGGGGCTATCCTTTGGGCACTTTTCTCTTTCGCACAAATTAAAGTACGTGGATGGAAGATGTCACATAGATTGGACTTTGAGAGACTTAATTTTACTTGAAATATGTGGAAAGAATTCTATGGTCTTTACATTCTAAGGTTCACGTTGTGTGT